AGGGACGGGGCGCTTATGCGAATGCCCCGAGTGCTGTGATGTTGGTTCTTGTATCAGCTCAACTCAACTTAGTAAACTTGTTTTCATAGCGAGGTGCACAACTAAAGATTTCGATTTAAATGTTGTCTAGTGTATCTTTCTATGAGTGCCTATCTATATATCAAAATTTAGAATATCTCTACATCCTCAAGGGTTCCTCTTCTGTTTATTTACGGGAAATCTTTAGCCAGTGATCAACAGTTTCCCCTCCCCCTCCCCCGAATCAAAGCCTATTACCCCTCCCCTCCTTCAAATCAAAGCCTCCCCCCCCCCCCCCACACACACACATATTGTTTCTCTATATCATGACATTTTATTTTATAAAGTAGGAGTGGAGAAGCAGAGTTAGGAGAAATCAATGCAAATCTAAACCACTCACAATAACATCGGAAGTAAGTGAAGGGATTATCGTATCACCTCTGCTTTTTATCACCTACATAGACATTCCATAGGCAACGTCTAGTTTGAGAATGGAGGTGGAGGCAGTCATTGCTGCCTTCCGCTGACTTGAGAATCAGCTGTACACACATGCCGTTATTGTAACTGACTCTCAGAGCCAATTGAGAAAGGTGGAGACAGGCATGCTTCGTGCAGAGTGGCAAGCATCACTTCAAAGGTCTCGGGTAGTTAGCATCCTTTGGATATTTTCTCTAGGCATGCTGGCTTGTTGGGAAATGAACAGACAGATAGACTGGCCGGTTCTGCGCCATTTGGTGGTAAATTGGTGTATGAAAAGCTGGATGTTTCAAGGACCTTTTGGGAGCGAGTGAACAATGCGGAGGCACAGATAGATCATTACGGTCTGAGGAGAATGACACTCCGAAGAGATCAAGGGGATCTGGCCGACATTTGACGCTCAGGGGAAAAGCGGGACGTACATCCAATAAAACAGTTACTAGTACCATCGGAATATTAAATCTTCATTGCTGCTGAAGAAGAAGATGGAGCACTTATGGGAGTGTCCCAAGTGCTGTGATGTCGATTCTCAATTCAACATTCAACATAACAGATACGGCCATGAAATTGCAACAACATCTAACATCTATGAATAAAGAGTGTAAAACAAATAATATGAGAATCAAAACCGAAAAGACAGAAGTAATGCCAATAGGAAGAAGAAAAAAGGAGCGAAACAAAATAGTAAAATAAATAAATAAACGTTAATTAATTCCTTCTGGAAATTAGACGTGTTAATTAAAGATCATACTTGTCTTTGTGGACACATTTACTCCTGCTACATCTATCGCTAAATTCATCATCATCATAAAATATATAAAACGTTGATAAGACCAGTCGTCTTATATGGCTCTGAAACTTGAAGGACAACTAAAAAAAGATGAAGCCTTATTACAGGTTTTCGAAAACAAGAGTTTTGCGACGAATCTTTGGACCCATCAAAGATGCAAACAGCGGGGAATAGAGAGTGAGAAGCAATAACGAAATTCATAATCGGTTTAAATTACCAGTTATCTCTGTCATCATGAGAGCTAATAGACTGCAATGGTTGGGACATAGTGAAAAAATGTCAGATGACAGAGAAGTAAAAACTATATAAACAAGGGAGATGAATCGTCGTAGACAACGAAACAGACCAAGAAGAAGTTAGAGAGGTAATGTCCAGACAGACCTGCAAACACTTGGCGTCACCAAGTGGAAAAAGAGGGCTGTCAGGGTTCGCCCTGTTATGGGACAGTGCAGTATGATGATGATTAATCTCGTCATCGTACCCTGCGACCCTTAGTGCAACTCAGTACGTGTATACACACGTAGAAACGAGCATGAACGTATGAGCGAAGCGTAGCTTGGTCATTGACCAGCGGACTTCACGAAGGTTCTGACCATCGCGTGAACTCGGAAGCCCAGAACAAAACGGATGGACAGGCGAGACTCTAGACATTCTGGACCGGAGGCTTGACACTTGCTTGTGTGACTGCTGTGGGACGAGAACTTAGATTGTTAGATTTAGTGACCGTTCGTTTTTATTGGTAGGAATGTACCAGTGTAGTTAGCAGCTGTAACGCGTTAGTATGAATGTACCAGTGAAGTTATCTGCAACGCGATCTGTTCGTAGTATCATTAAATGTATTTAATTCGTTACAGAGTAGATAGCATGTGTTCTAGTTAGATCTCAGTTAATATTTCATTCAAGGTAGTAGCTAGACTGTGTCAGTAGTAGTAACTATAAGCCAGACCATGCATTGTTGATGGCGTTAGCACTTAGTCCCTACACGTGGCGTGTGCCATAGCGTCTTTGGCACTGGGAGACTGCGGGTTGAGCTGGCGCTGTACGGGAGAGTGTTAGCGGCTCAGAGCTAATTTTATGAACGTGTAAAGGCGCCTCTAAGCAATTTTAAAGTTGGAGCGGCCTGGTTTCAGAAAAAGGAGCGCTACCCCTCCTGAGGTGTACCACCCCTTCGTTTGTGTCCTTGATAATAAAGATTGTGTTTGTGTTGCAACCAGTGTTTGGATTGAGTGTGTTTGTCAACAGTGTTTTCCTGTTATTAGCCTATAGCAGAGCCAATGGAATTGAACCCTAGACAATTAGGATCCTGACAAGAGCCAACCAGAGAAATGAATAAATGCGGTCGATATCTTCAGCAGTGAACCTCAAGTGCTCGGAATTCTGAAGAATAAGAAGCTGATATCCTTTTGTGCATTATATGTCCTATAGAGCTCGTACTATACTCCTCAGTTATGTGCTTTCCATCTCATTCCTTGGATATCATGGATGGAATTCAATTCAGTCCTAGTAATTTCTGGCACCAACTATCTTTTTTGTATTCCTCTTGGTCACTTTCGCTTCTTCATTCCATTTATTCCCATTTCAGTATTTGTCTCCTTGATTCTATGCTCGTTTCTTCTCAGAATGCGTCCATTACCACACCATCTATTCTGAGTTCGCTAAACTAGGACGTCTTTATCTGTCTTCATTATTTTCGAAGGGTCTTCAGACGCAAAGGGTCCTCACCGATAACAAAATGTGTGAATAAGATATCTGGTAATTGTACACACCAGGTCAACAACTGTCTACGTATTTCAGGAGTAGTTATGAATAATGACTGAAATCAGGTCATTCAAATTGTATAAAACATACGAGCTGTTTCTGTGTTGTTTCTGATGTACATGTGAATCAAACTATTTAGTGACTGAGGTATACATGACACATTACCTACCGTTTCACTAACGACAGAATCCAACACTATTTGATAAACAACACTGGGATATATAGTTGCTCCTTCTAACTTCTAGTTTGATAAGGTGAATTGCATTGTTCGTCAGTTTTGTCTCAAATTTGACGATAGGACTGTAAGGATTTATAACTGTTAACGATAATTGTTCGCGCCTACAAGTTACAATTTTATATATATATATATATGGTGTGATTTACTTTCTTCTCCCCAGCAGAACTAGGTCTCGGTGCACTGATAGATTTTTAAAGACTTGTCTGCCGGCGTTATGGCGACACGTAAATGCAAGACAAACCAGAAAGTAAACATACATTTTGGCTTGTCTTGCATTTACGTTTTTCTTCCCCCAAAAAAAGAGAATGTGACCTAGGCTGCAGCACCCTCTAGGGGGTTGTAGGTTAGACCCAGTCTGTAAATGTTTTTGTAGTGTTAAAAGGGGTGGCGTGCTTAAATATAAAACATGCGATATAAACACATCACCGAACACCCCCCTAGCAGTGTGTAAAGGTCGGGTGACTGAAGGCCGACTAATCAGAAGTGAGCTAGTGTGTAACGTGGGGAGATTATCGTGGATTATGCCATATATAAATATATATATCATCACTTGCTAGTTATTATCATTTAATTTATTTACAAATTCACGTCTTGAATGAGTTTTTGAAAAATATAAGTTTTCATTTTCATTTTTAGAATTAAAAACATCTGACTCAAATAATTTCAGAGCTTCATTCGCAGAAAAGATCATTTTGCGGCATGTGCTTGCGTTTGAAAGATTGGTATCCATGGCCAGTCGAAGTTGAAATCAGAAAATGACTGAAAATAAGGCTAAAACACTGAATCAGACAAATGTGTGTCTAAATGTGCGAACACAGACTTGAAAACAAAGAAAAACGTTAGTGTAACCTCCTTGAATATTGTAATGGTAGTTCCGAACGTTAATAACGAATACACAGCAGTAGGCGATGCATTATGTACAGGACACACGAGCGACACAGACTGTGTGGTTTGGTCAAATCGAAACTTCTCAGTCAACACACAAAGCGTCGGTCGGGTCAGAACGAGTTAATTGGTAGTTTTCTCTGAGATGTGATTAGGCTCTGAAAGTCGAGGCTCAGAAAGTCGAGACTCTGGAAGTTGAGGCTCTAAAAGTCGAGGCTCTAAAAGTCGAGGTTCTGAAAGTCGAGGCTCTGAAATTCGAGGCTCTAAAAGTCGAGGCTCTGGAAGTCGAGGCTCTGAAAGCCGAAGCTCTGAAAGTCGATGCTCAGAAAGTCGAAGCTATGGAAGTCAAGGCTCTAAAAGTCGAGGCTCTGAAAGTCGAGGCTCTGAAAGTCGGGACTCTGGAAGTCGTTTGACTCTTGGTGCCTTTGTCAAAACAACCATGAGGTTAGGAAACAATAAAACATAGTTGGAAAATGTTCCCATTTTTTTTTAAATTATTGATATTACCGTACACCAGGACATTTTCAGTTGTTCGTACACTTCTCGACTTTTCTTTTGATCCAGAAGTTAAATTTTGCGTGCCATCCGTTTTACAAATCTGCATATGTGAACGCAAACTTTTGGTTTCTCGCCTCTTATGCAGATGTGCTCCGACTTTAGAGAAAATTCACATATGAGAAATTAGACAATTTACGGAAACTGTAATAGAAAACTGCCAAAACTAACGCACATTTAGAGAACTAGAAGGAAAAAGAAAGTTAAGACAATAACTCAATAACTTGTCAACTGACAGGGTCAAACCTTCCCATCTATGTGTCTTCAGAAACTGCTGCCATGACAACTAGCGTCCCTGAAGATTTGAAGACTCCCTATGTGTTCTTGGGGCGATCAGGCCTCAAGGTATCCAATATCTGCCTTGGTACAGGAACCTTCGGAGAAAGCAGGGTAGGTCAGCCATTGCATCAAGTCTTGAGCAACTGTCACAAACACCTGTGCACAACATGTGTTATAGGGAGTTCAACCGGAAATGGCTCAGAAATGTCAAGCTATTTATTAAACTCTATTTCAATAAACTTAACTTTAAAAGTTTTAACTCTTTAAGAATAGAGTAAGTTATCTACATAAATTGTAGTTCTACACTGTTGGTCGGTTGGTTGCTGTTGGCATCTTTCTGTCTTTCTACACCAGTGTTTCCTATTGTTAGCACTACCCTAGGGGGAAGGGGGATGAGGCGCCCCGCCGATCCATGAGGCAAAAGCAGCCTCAATCAAATTTAAGGTTCAGTTAGACGCATTGAATCTAAGGAAGTGATGGAGGAAAAAAATAAGTAGAAAAATATGCAAAATAACATTTTCAACAACTGCTTATACTTGTTTCTATGTTACATAGCAGATTACATTATTTTTACGGAAGAAGGGCCTATCCAGAATGAATCTATCCAAGAAATTGTGTAAATAGGAGTTAATTATAACATGTATTCTTGGATCTGAAACTTGTAGTTTCAACGATTTGCTAGAGTTAAAATAGACAGCTAGTTGAATAGTAAAACTGAGTGAGGGAATCTCTCAGAGCAGTGTAAAATCGCAGTCTTTTCTGGATTTACTTTTTTGACAAGCCTAACCGCTTTTGCCAACAGTTATGCAGTACTCTATGTGTAGATGACTTTACTCTTTTAGCTGCTTGAATTAGACTCTCGACATCCTCGTAGCTACTTCAAATGTTAAAAAAAAAAGTAGGGAAAAACAAGCTATCACTTGAAGTCTTCAATATAAATCCTAACACTTGGGAGATTGCTGCAAAAGACCGGACTTCGTGACGAACGTCCATCTGAAGAGGCGCAGCGACTTTCGAGACATCTAGAAAATGGGCAGCTGAACAGCAAACACAGGCTACAAGGACCAGTACACCAGACTCCTAATCTACAGACACTGTTCCTTGACTTTATTGTCCAAGATCATTCCTTGCCCGATTTAGGCTTATAAGTCCTGTCCGCTGTCATACGCAATCAATGTTAGTTTTTTGAACAAACAAACAAACAAACAACAAAAGAATGGCTTGCATTATTTATGGCGAACAACAGCAAAAAGTTAACTTGAAAACGTATAAAGAGATATCTAGTCACTTGTCAGAACTGCTGTACACATATGGAACTTGCGAACGTATAGAGAACTATCTAGTCGGTTGTCAGAACTGCAGTACAAATACGAAACTATAGAATTTATATTAGCTCAACAGTCATCATCATCATCATTCACTTTCAGACAGGCAGGCCTGGGCAGACAGACGAGCAAGCATCCCATGAGCTGATCAACCGCTTTGTTGAATGGGGCGGCAACTTCCTGGACACAGCAGATATTTATGGAAGCGGCCTGTCGGAGACCATCGTTGGCAAGTGGCTGGAGACGTAAGTTGCTGGTTGTGCAGATGATTCTCTGATAAGGTCAAAACAGATCTTGAAGAGATGGATGTTGTAAGTTATGCTCTCTTTGTCTGGCTCCGGGATTACCATTTTTCGTGAGTTGGGGAGGGGGAGGGGGAGAAAGGGGGGGGGGGGGGGGGGGGTTATGAATAGACGAACAGTTTCTTAACACGCAACTTGTAAAAGCAATAGGTTAAGGCATTTTTTTAATCGTATGTGTCGGATTAAAAGGCTGTGAACTGCAACACTTTAATGGCTGAAAAAGAACAAGGAGTAGAAGTAGAAGAAGTAGAAGAAGAAGAAGAACTTGATTTATAGTAGTCGCTCCTACTTGGGATGCAATTTTTTTTTTGTTACTTGAAGTTTCACCCTGGCTTTAGGCGGGGGCCCTGAATATGGACCGGCCATAAATATGACCTAACGGCTGAAAGGGGTTTCTGGGACCACTCCACGGGTGATCCTCATTTCAACACCACAGCCTGACTTCAACTCCACATTGTTTGGCCCCAGACTGGAAAACAACGTTAAAACAGTCGAATATATGAACACCAGTAGATCTGACAAGACATGGTTACACTTCTGACTATGGCAAATAATTCTATCAAGACAACTTTATTGTAAGAACAAGAACTCTTGTGAACAATGAATATAATGTAATAAATTTACTGTGGTAAGAGAAGACAAAATGTAGAACAAAGCGAAACAGAACGATAGTTCATAATGTTCTCAAAGAATTAGGATTATAGAACGAGTCTCCCTTGATAGCCTCTCCCATTTCCGGGCTCATCATCGACTGGAGAGTGTGGAGAGAGATTACTGGCCGCATTCATGTTCTGGCTTTCATGGTATTCCTTAGCATTACAAACCTATCTAGGCTGAATCCTATAGCTCCTCTGTGTATCTAATAGTAGATCTCTGCAACCTCCCGTTTCCCGGAATAACAATGATTCTCTCCACGGACCGGTGAAAACGCCTACCAAGACCTTCCAGAGACTTGCTGGCGTTGACTTCACAAAGGGCCTGCTATATGAGACGGTGGCACGAAAATATTGGCTGGTTTTCCCCGACTTGACAGCTGGCTGGACTTTTGGACTACCGCTCCGACGCACGCTGGATCTTCAAACATCCTGTAATCAACAAGGCAACAAACATGAACAAACCTCACCAAATGTACCGTGCTAATCACACTCCTCCCGCTCTCTATATATGCTCAGAGGTAAATGCGGGCTAGTCTAAGCTATAAGGGTCGACTTTGTTCTCAGGAGCCCTTACAGTTCCTGAGAATGATTGCTATAGTTAGACGTTTCTATTGATTCCAACAGTCTCCAAATCCTGTTTCGTAGCGAAAGCCAGTCAGATCCATATCTGTCCCTATCCCTCTATATATTCCAACCTCACCAGTAGGAAAGATAAAGTAGATAAGTAAATAGTAAAGACAGATTAGAATTATAGACGCCAAAGACTTTTCCAAACGCTGAGTTTGTTTTTGTTACATCTGCTTCTAGCAACGGAGGATCTGACGTCATGTTTTCTTACAATAGCACTGCCCCTTTCCAACAGTCATTCGACTCATCAAGTTAGGAGTCTAATTAAAAGAGTATATCAGGTCATACCAGTTCCTCAAGACTTCAGTTACACTCTAGACAAGTGGATTGATCGATCCAAATAGGTTTAGAACGCAAGCTAGAAGAATTTACGAAAACATTTTCTCGGAAAGTGAATTCTCTCCAGCGTTTCTACCAACTCGCGTCGAAGGCGATCGTAGTCAGAAGATTCGGCGTTATCATTCTTCTTACCTTTTCTCGCAAACACATACAGACACTGAGCACAACTATATATATTAGGGCTGTACCGAATATTCGCTTTGTATTCGCTTCGGGCCGAATAGTGGACCTATTGACAATTCGGTTTTGGGCCGAATAGTTGCGGTCGGGCCGTATACGAATGGTAGTTACCTTACACCCGCTTCTGCATACACGGCCTTAATACTGACCTCATGGAACGGTTTTGTTGAAAGCTAATGCAGCTTTCATGCATTAATTAAGCTGTCAGTGACAATTTCCAAGTTACTTGTTATAATACTTAGGATTCTTTCATTCCTAGTTTTTAGTTACCACAGACTGACTGAAGGATGCAAAACAAAATGTTTTTAAATGTTTACTATTCTGTACGAATACTAACTAGACAAGGCAAGAATATAAACTCCGGCCACATACAAGTCGATAATATGAAAATCAAACGAACGGAAACATATAAGTACTTGAATGCAAACTTCAACTGCTCCAACATGATGAGAGAAGAAATACAATCTAGAATACAATCGGGAAATAAAGTATACTATGCCCTTCAACATCTGCTAAAGTCAAAGGGCTGTCTCGCAACACCAAGATAAAAATATATAAAACGTTGAAAAGACCAGTCGTTTTACATGATTCTGAAACTTGAAAAAGAAATAAAAAAGATGAGGCCTTATTGCAGGTTTTCTAAAACATCCTTACGACAAATCGTTGGATACATGAAAAATGCTAACAGCGGGGAATGGAGAGTGAGAAGCAACAACGTAACACATAATCTGTTTAAATCACCATTGATCACTGGTATCATGAGAGCTAACAGACTAAAATGGTTGGGGCATATTGAAAGAATGTCAGGTGACAGAGAAGTAAAACTGCATACACCTGAGAGAGGAATGGGCGTAGACCACGAGGCAGACAAAAAAGAAGATCGAGAGGTAATGTCTAGCTAGACCTTCAGACAACTGGTGTCACAAATTGTGAACAGAAGGCCAGCCATAGAGATGAATGGAGACGAGTGATATCTGCAGCAGTAAACCTCAAGGGCTCAGAATGCTAAAGAAGAAGATGACTAATTTGTGCTACTTTATGTGAAGTAAAAGTTTAGCGTACATTTGACATTATGAATGCTTTTTTTTTTTAAAGATACATTTTATACACTTTTCGTATTCGTATTCGGCCGAATAGTGAAAATCACTATTCGGTACAGCCGTAATATATATATTTCCCTTTAAGGAAAACTCACCCATGCAGACGAATATTATCTGAGAGAACGGATTTGTCAAGCGGCCACAGTGCTAAAACACACCTGTTCACTTGAACGGACTGAATAGTAGTGACGTACATAATAGTAGTGACGTACAAAATAGTAGTGACGTACATAATAGTAGTGACGTACAAAATAGTAGGGACGTACATAATAGTAGTGACGTACAAAAAAGTAGTGACGTACAGAATAGTAGTGACGTACAGAATAGTAGTGACGTACAGAATAGTAGTGACGTACAGAATAGTAGTGACGTACAGAATAGTAGTGACGTACAGAATAGTAGTGACGTACAGAATACTAGTCCCAAACTACCCCAGTTGGGCAATAATGTGTCTCAAGCTTGTAGTGAAGCAGTCAAACTACTAAGCAGCGATAAGCATAGAAAACGTCTCTATTATTCATATTGACACTATTCGCCAAAAAGGATTAATTTAGGAGTGATTTGAATACGTTTCTCACATCTGGACTCCCCAATAACAAAAGAACTATACATCTATGGATGGACTATCCGAGAAAATTTTCCGAAAACATGTTGCCAATTTTTTCAACCCATGACAGGTAGAATTATGGTTTCAAAACGAACATATATACAATGAAACTGTCGTGATAGAGTTTTGAAAACGTTGTATTCATTAGTTTCAGGAAGTAATGTTACTAAGCTAGCTATAACGGATTCACCCTGGGTAAACTATGTTAGGTAAAGTCAACAAAAACGCATTCGCTCCATCGGTGCTAGACTCTGCGAGGGACTGGTTACTGGCGGTTGATCTGCCAGGCCATGAACGGTATCCCGAGTTGATCCGTAAAACCGGCCTGCGACCGGACATCGTTCTCCATTCTGCGCAAAAACGGCAACTCATCCTGATTGAGTTGACGGTCCCGTTTGAATCGCGGATGGAGGAGAATCATTTGTACAAGCTCGAGAAGTACAGTGATTTAGCAGCCGGTTTGAGGAGAAACGAGGCTTACACGGTACGGGTTTTTGCCGTCGAAGTGGGAGCGAGAGGCCTCGTTTCCACTTCGCTCTACAATGTGGTGAAAGAACTAGGATTGCGCGGTAATGAACGGAAACGAACACTCAAAAAACTGGGAGAGGTGGCCGAAAGGGCCTCTAGCTGGCTGTGGACGCAGCGCAACAACGTAGGGGACGGGCCTCGGTGAGCTGGTCCAGGTGTCTAGCGAAAAAGAGTTTCTCATCCCTTTGAAAGTTCATCGTGTCCGAATTGTCTGCCAGTGTTCCTCTGCCAACTACTATTAAAAGTCCAACATGTGTCCGGTAAACCAAAATAAGCTTGTCGCTCGGTCGTCCAGACATGCGGACTGTTTTAATTACGCTGTCGCGGCGGCTTGTTATCTCACGGTACCTCCTTTGAAACCACCAAGTCGTCTTGTCTCTGGCCGAAATAATAACACCATCCGGTAATTCTGTGCAGCGGGGAAGCAGCCCTGAGCTTCATGAACTCAGGTGGGCCCACCTCCGAATACGTTTAGGAATCGTGGGCCGAAACGTGTGTCGAAAGAGGATAATTTCTACTGATGACTGTAGATCCACGCTGTACTTGCTCCCTGTGAGTTTATTCTTATTGTACGTGGCTAGCCCACAAGACTACCAGGAAAGACTGGTGACTATCGGGAAAGTCCTTTTGACACCTATGGAAAGACTGGCCCCCCGGTATCGCCGGGGGGATAAACTGACATCTGGAGACAGATGTCGACTGTGGACCGGGTTGATCACCCCTAACACAGTATAATACCTCCGATTTCGTACGACCACAATGAAATATGCCCCCAGGGCCCTCCGAAAGGGGGGGGGGGGAGAATGAAGGGCCCAATCTGATTGATACCCTCGGTGACGACTTTGCTAGCCCCCGGACTGAGATACTCGCCCAACGTCCGGGCTGGCTCTGTACATGTGGAAAAAGCTTCACGGGGTTGCATGGTCTGAGAACGCATGCCGGAAGAATGAAATGCGAGGGTGCTCCACGCAGTAAACGCCGTCGCAAAACTACCACTGCTGTGGTAGTTTCTGAGTCGTCAGGGTACGACGGGCAGGGTGAACCCCACTCGCCCGGAGAGGCCCATGACGTCGACTGCGGAGGAGCACCTTTGATGATTTCTGAAGAAGTGCGTTCCAAGATCATGTTTCCACCTGCGAGCGAGAAGGTGGTGTGGTGTAAGTTGGAGGCTACATTATGTGAGGTACTAAAACCAACTCTGAACAAGAAGTAGCTAGGCGACAAGCTTACTAAATTTGGTGATGTAATACATGAACACTGCTCCCGCGAGTTCGGGACAGTAGTAAAGGCACAGCCGGGTGCCAAGCAGAATACTAGCAGGAGGCAGAGGGACATTCTGAAGTGTCGGGCAGACAAGAATGCCCTCAGAAAACGGTTCAAAGCCGCTACGGGCAGCGAACGGGAGGGGCTGTACGAAGTGTGGGTGCATTTAAAGAACAAACACAGTGCCCTCTGTCGCGCCGAGCGTTTCTGTAACAACAGACGGAGAACCAAAAGGGAGCGAGAGAAATTCTTTAGGGACCCGTATCAGTTTGCCCGAGGTCTATTCGAGCAACCGAAGTCTGGGACTCTGGTTGTCAGTCAGGAAGAACTAGAGCTACATCTACGCAAGATGTACTCGGATAAAAAGAGGAGAGAGCCTCTCGATGACAATCCAGAGATCCTTAGCGGTCTTAAACAGCCTTCGGTGCCGAAGGTACCATTTAAAATGGTACCTCCCCTTTGGTCTGAGGTTGAGGACGTTGTGAAAAAAGCCAGCGGCAAGTCTGCCCCAGGTCCGAACGGTGTCCCGTACGTTCTTTACAAGCGTTGCCCGAAAATCCTAAAAATGCTTCACGTCTTGTTGAGACAAGCGTGGATCCGCAACCACATATGTCCAGAGTGGTCAAAGGCAAATGGGGTCTACATTCCCAAAGAGCAGGACTCGAAGAGTCTTTCCCAATTCAGGCCCATCTCGCTGTTGAATGTTGAGGGTAAGATATTCTTCTCAGTCATGGCTCGCCGGCTCACACAGTATCTGATGACTAACAAGTACATAGATACGAGTGTTCAGAAGGGTGGTATTCCAGGCGTTCCTGGGTGCCTTGAACACGCGACCATGATCTGGGAGGCTATCCAGAGAGCCAAGCATGAGAGAACAGATTTGCACGTTATATGGTTGGACTTAGCCAACGCCTACGGGGCAGTCCCCCATAGGCTACTGTGGCGAGCCCTTCGCATGTTTCACGTACCGACACAGATCAGTCAAATGGTCGAGCAATATTTCTCTAAGTTCGCTTTGCGCTTCTCTACCTCGACGTTTACCACGAGGTGGACTGAGTTGCAGATTGGGATAGCTATGGGCTGTACGATCTCACCCATACTGTTTGTCATGGCAATGCAGATCATGTTAGACGGGGCGGCCGGCTACGGACTGGGCCTTCAAATAGGGGATCACTGGTTGCCGCCACTGCGCGCATTTATGGATGACACGACTATTATTACGGGCAGCGAGGAGTCTGCCCGCACGATCCTGAATAGATTGGACGCGGTGGTCCAATGGAGCGGTATGCAGTTCAAACCGCAGAAGTCGAGGAGTCTGTCAATCCATAAGGGCAAGGTTTCGGCGACCAGTTTTACGGTGGCAAGGAACAAGATCCCTACGGTTCTGGAGGAACCGGTGAAGAGCCTCGGTCGCGTCTACGATTCGAAGTTATCTGACAGAGCGGAAGTCCGGCGAATACATGAGTCACTGGCTACAGGCCTGCTCGCGATCGAGCGATGCAGGCTGATCGGAAAATTCAAGGTATGGTGTCTCCAATTCATGTTGATTCCGAAGCTTCTATGGCCACTGCTAGTCTACGAGGTGACGATGACTGCAGTGGAAACCATGGAAAAGAAAATCAACACAACCTTAAGAAAGTGGATTGGTGCACCGCCTTGTCTGACCGACGTGGCTCTGTATTGTAAGCAGGCTAAGCTGGTACTACCGTTCAAGTCGATAAACGAAGAGTTTAAAGTCGGCAAAGTAAGGCTCGACATGCTTCTGCGCGAGTCTTCAGACCCAAATGTCATCGCTGTCCAGCCCGCTCTAAAGACTGGTACCAAGTGGAGGGTCCTCGATGCGATAGAATCTGCCCAGAACGCACTAAAATTGAGAGAGATAATGGGTTACACACAAACCGACCGTCGAGGCCTAGGGCACGGAAAAGTCAATTGGTGGTCAAAGGCCTCAGCCAAAGAACGCCGAGACATGGTGATACAAACGGTGAGGGACAACGAAAACGAGGTTCTGGTCCAGAAAGCAGCCCAACAGTCGCAGCAGGGCCATTGGGTCAGCCTGGAGAGCGCATTGCCGAGAATACTCACATGGGGTGAGATCTGGCGGATGACCCCGCTGCGACTGAGCTTTATCGTTCGTTCGGCGTACGATGTATTACCGTCCGGTGTTAACATGGTTAAATGGTCTGCGACCAACGATCCGACTTGCCCGTTGTGCAAATCAAAGCAAACTCTTGAGCACGTCCTGTCCGCGTGCAGGAAAGCTCTAGGTCAAGGCCGATATACCTGGCGCCACAACAAGGTGCTAAAGGAGTTAGCAGCCGTTGTCGACCAGGCTAGAATGAGGGCTAATGCCAGAGCCAGTTCTAGTATCGCCCCCATTCGTTTCCTCAAGGCTGGGCAGGTTCCAAAAGGTAAAGTCAACAAAAACGCATTCGCTCCATCGGTGCTAGACTCTGCGAGGGACTGGTTACTGGCGGTTGATCTGCCAGGCCATGAACGGTATCCCGAGTTGATCCGTAAAACCGGCCTGCGACCGGACATCGTTCTCCATTCTGCGCAAAAACGGCAACTCATCCTGATTGAGTTGACGGTCCCGTTTGAATCGCGGATGGAGGAGAATCATTTGTACAAGCTCGAGAAGTACAGTGATTTAGCAGCCGGTTTGAGGAGAAACGAGGCTTACAAGGTACGGGTTTTTGCCGTCGAAGTGGGAGCGAGAGGCCTCGTTTCCACTTCGCTCTACAATGTGGTGAAAGGCTGTGGACGCAGCGCAACAACGTAGGGGGCGGGCCTCGGTGAGCTGGTCCAGGTGTCTAGCGGAAAAGAGTTTCTCATCCCTTTGAAAGTTCATCGTGTTCGAATTGTCTTCCAGTGTTCCTCTGCCAACTGCTATTAAAAGTCCAACATGTGTCCGGTAAACCAAAATAAGCTTGTCGCTCGGTCGTCCAGACATGCGGACTGTTTTAATTACGCTGTCGCGGCGGCTTCTTATCTCACGGTACCTCCTTCGAAACCACCAAGTCGTCTTGTCTCTGGCCGAAATAATAACACCATCCGGTAATTCTGTGCAGCGGGGAAGCAGCCCTGAGCTTCATGAACTCAGGTGGGCCCACCTCCGAATACGTTTAGGAATCGTGGGCCGAAACGTGTGTCGAAAGAGGATAATTTCTACTGATGACTGTAGATCCCCGCTGTACTTGCTCCCTGTGAGTTTATTCTTATTGTACAAGGTCTGACAATTAAAAAATGAGACAAATTCCATGAAAATTAAAATAATAAAATGATCAAATAATAAAATGGAGATATAACCTGCATTTTATTCAAAGTCAGCCCCTTGTGCATTGTTACCGCAAGTGACACGATCTAATAAACACTCAAATGACATCTGTAGCGCGTCTGTTGATATGGCCCTTAAAGTCAATGTTACGGCCCTTTGGATGTCATCAGTATTGTCAAAGAAGCGTCCTTTTAATGCTAACTGTAATTTTGGGAAAAGAAAATAATCACAGGAAGAAAAATGTGGGAAATAGGATGGATGGTTGAGTACACACACCTGTTTTGGGGCCAAACATTCCTGTTTTCATAATGTCTCGTGATGTTTTTGGTCATCAGACAACGAATGTGGTACAAATTTGCAAGAAACTTTTTTTCTTGCCAAAATCTTGCATTACAATTTTAGGAAGGGTCTCTATCAACACCAGATTCATCTGCCATCATCCTGACAGTAAAACAACGATCTTCTTGTATCCTTCTGTGACTTTTGCAATGAGTTCATCATTACAAACACAAACTGGGCGTCCAGGTCTAGTTGCATTAGTAATCATTTCTACACAACTTTTGAATCGTGAATACCACCTGAAAATCTGTGCATCCGATAAACAATTATCCCCATAACCTTTTCGCATCATTTCAACTGTCTCAATTGCTTCTTTTTCTGAGTTTTATACAGAATGTAATGTTAGCCATTTGCTCCCTGCTGATTTCGTAACTAGGTCAATAAAATGGCGGTTTGTTTGTCGTCTGCTTATCAGACGGAGATGCAAAGTTGTCTTATCATAGATGAAGGTTTCTTCTTTGATTCCATGTTTTGCTTCATAGATGGCACTTTTGCTTGGCCGTAATAAAATCAGTCTCAGTATTTAATTGTCGAACCTTGCATTGTGAACAAAAAAAAGTCTATTGTGTTACAACTGCAGTCTTCTCTAGCTGACTTCAGTTTTCGTTTTTACCCATTTATGAGAGAACCAAAAGTTTTACATTACGTCCAATCAGACAACATCGGGACAAGTTTGTGATCGGTACCAAAGTTCGTGGAAACATGGGAACACAGGAGAACGTCAACAACGTGGGACTGAGTCGACGACACATTACTAAAAGTATCGATAGAAGTCTTCAGAGACTGCACACAGACTTTGTGGATCTTTACCAGGTGGGTGGTGTTGAGAATTGTTAGAGGGTTGGCGTGTTCTGCATGTTTGTTTAGCTTTGGGTGAAAACATCTTTTCAAATCAGAGAGCATTTCTTTACGCATTAGTATAATCTTTCGGTCAGCGGTTCCCAATAACACCCAGACAACTCTCACTATTGTTTTCAATGATTGCAAATTTATAGAGTTTATTTTGACTAAATACCTTTCAACCAAAGAGTCACCATTCGGATGAGAATCTCTCAGGCGCAAGTCTCAGAAATCCCATTCAACCGTTAGCTTATATTATTCTTCTTGCCTCCCCTCTAAAGGGATGCATCTCTAGGTTAAAAATTATCGGCTATCTTTCGAATAACGGTCCTATATGAACTACGCAGACAGTTAACCCAAACAGAGCCTCACAACACAGACAGTTAACCCAAACAGAGCCTCACGCATATGTAAAAGTCGCATTTCTTTTGCGGCGATTCAAACGTGTCAAAAGTAGTATTAACTGCGGACCACATTTTCGCGGAACGCACCGAATTTTTTACGGCGATTAGATGGCGGCAAAACAAGGATTAACTGCATACGAAAAAAATTACCGACACGCGACAATAGTCCCGATAGCGCTATCCTACGGCAGGGCCCGAGCTATATGCAAGTTGCCGATCGCTATTCGCCGACTATAGTGCCACCTCCGAGAGTATCCCCGGCGCCGCTACGCGCGGCGCGGAGAGGGCTAAACTAGATGGCTTGGACTCACGAGCAGCAGCTACCGCAGCTCCTGCAGCTTCCTCCAAAGTATTTGCTCGTGAGTCCCAGCCATCTAGTTTAGCCCTCTCCGCGCCGCGCGTAGCGGCGCCGGGGATACTCTCGGATCTGGCACTATAGTAGCAGGACAACACTCAATACCTACTTTTTCAGTCGGAACTGCCACCGTGGTCGCAGTCGCGACGGTCAAGGGGTGGTCGGAATAGTGTAGCGCCATAGAGGCTGGTGGTTTGAAGTTGTCCTGAGGCGACTGCTGGTTTGACGTTGGCTAGAGGCGACTGCTGGTTTGAAGTTGGCCCGAGGCCATTTGCGCGTACATTACAACGCGCAGTATTGATTATGTCCCGCCCGGAACAAGACTTGCGGACAAGTGCGTCCTGTTGACATCGCTGACAGCCAGAAAGAACAAATATTCGGGCGCTATTTGCAACGTCTGTGCCACAATTTTCACGTATAGAGGATGTCAACATCGGTAAGTAGTAGAATTTCCCCGTTTTTCTGATACTTTTCTTTCCTTATATTTCCCGAGTTACAGCTTTCAAATGTTTGTAGTGTAGGACGTAATGATGCTCTGTTTGGGTTAACCTTTTTGCGTAGTTCATATGGGACCGTTATTCGAAAGATAGTCAAACTATCGTATGAAAAATTTGTATCTGCATTATTAGTTTTACTGCTTTTGTTCATAAGAGTATGTGTGCCCAGCTCTTCCAAACCTAAATAATAATTGTTTTTGAGCTTAATTTCTTTTGTAAGAAGGAGTTAAAGTAGCAACAACTTGTGACCAGAAGAGTTAAATTACATATTTACAGGCCCACCAGTTTGACCCCGCCACGCCACTGGAGGAGACATTCAGGACATTCGATGATCTGGTTCGTGGAGGCAAAGTCCGTTATATCGGGGTCAGTAACTTCAACGGCTGGCAGATGGAGAGAGTCGTCAACACGGCCAGGACTTTGGGGATCAACCCCATCATTAGCTTGCAGGTAAGGGGATTGGTGTGTGGTGACAGGGTGATTAGAGGACTGCTTTTCTTCGAGTGTCCACACTCTCACGTGTTTTCTTTATGTCGGGGCGCCTGGGTATCTGTCCTTTACGTCCCAGGACATTTCCTGAGCTGATTTATACTGGGTCGACTAGGAAACCGAGGTACGCTATTAAAAAAAGCAGCTTCCTAATTATCTTGGCTTCGGTTATTTTATGCTCAGGTCAGACCATCAGGTTGGCCGCCTCTGTGACCTCGCTTGCCAGTTGCAGGTCCTTCAAGGTTCCCCATAGCTTGCTCTGCACCTTTAACTCTTGTGGCCAGGTTTCTCTTAGTAGCTTTATAGTGTGGAGGTATGGAAAATGTGCTCAGTTGTGTGTAGCTCCGTTTGACAGGCATACTTTCGGGATTATGCAGTCTTATTTCATCCATGTGACAGTTGAGCCTGCTGTGTCTTGTCCTTAGACGAAAACTGTACCTTTTTATTTCCTATTGATCTATGATTTGATTTCTGGTAATGACACTAAATTGGACACCAGAGGGAAAGAGACAACAGGGGTGCCCAAAAAAAACATGGAGACGAGCGTTGGAAAGTGACCTAAGTGCGGCATCTTTGACATGGAAAACTGCAATGAAGATTGCACAGGACAAGAAAGCATGAAAAGTCCTCTCTGAAACCTCATTTGTCACAAGGCACTGAATGGATGTGTTGTTTGTCCTCGTGTGGATTCAAATCCAAGACATCCAAGCAAGCGTCTAGCTGTTTTGCTGCCGCGGCTCCCATTTCGCCAAGTAGTCTCTACAAATACAAAATTATTATTCATATCGACTTTCTAGTACACTGGTCTGACTCATTCGAGGTCCAGCAGCCATCTATGTGTCTCCATGCTTAGTACTCGGTTGCCCCGCAACCGGTTTCTGCATGCTTGTCCTTGTATAGAACCGACTTCCAGCACGCGGTTCACCGTCCTTGACTTCTGTGTCTCAACGTCTCTGCAACACAGCGCATTCAGTTTGTCTGCCCTGTCCATACTTCTTTTCTCCACTAACCATAGCAGACACAGCCAGTCTGTCGGCTCTTTCATTTAATTACACTTACATGTCTCGGTGTGAACAGTCAAGATAGTTTCTTAAGGTGAGACTTCTTGAGGCGGGATTTCTTATGGCGGGACTTCTTGAGGCGGGACTTCTTGAGGTGGGACTTCTTAAGGCAGGACTTCTTGGGGTGGGACTTCTTGAGGCGGGATTTCTTAAGGCGGAACTTCTTGAGGCGGGACTTCTTGAGGTGGGACTTCTTGAGGTGGGACTTCTTGAGGCGGGATTTCTTAAGGCGGAACTTCTTGAGGCGGGACTTCTTAAAGCGGGACTTCTTGAGGTGTGACTTCTTGAGGAGGGATTTCTTGAGGCGGGACTTCTTGAGGTTGGAGTTCTTGAGGTGGGACTTCTTGAGGTTGGAGTTCTTGAGGTGGGACTTCTTGGGGGCGGGACTTCTTGAGGCGGGACATCTTGAAGCGGAACTTGTTGAAGCGTATTTCTTGAGGCGGGACTTCTTGAGGCGGGACTTCTTGGGACAGGACTTCTTTAGGCATGATTTCCTAAGGTGGGACTTCTTGAGGCGAGACTTCTTGATGCGGAACTTCTTGAGGCGGGACTTCTGGATGCTGGGACCCCTTTCTAGTCGTAGTTTGACAGTTTGGATCACCTAAGCATGCTCACCGTTCTACCCAGGCCTGGTGACGCTTGACATAGATAAAAATACTTTTAGGCTTGCAATCGTGTCTTGTGTTTTCAAGGTGTCTATTTTATCACAGCGATCATCATCATCATGCGCCCTGCCAACTAGCATAGGCGCTCATGCGTCTCCACAGATCACGATCCCTGGTTGCCTGGAACAGCTCTTTTGAGGATATCCCTCCATGCCATCTTTTCAGCACATCCAACATCGTCTCTCTTGGTCTGCATCAATCCCTTTTTCCACAGATCTTTCCAGTTGTCGCGATGTGCTCTAATGTCTCTCTTCTCAGTATGTGGCCAAAGAACAGTGTTTGACTCTTTCTTATTGTTGCAGATGGAGATCTAATTTGTTTAGCTTTTTCACAGCTTCTATCACAGCGATAAAGAATAGAATATGTCAGACTAAAACTGAATTTTGTAACAGGAAGAACATTTTATACAATACATTCATGTCAATGGAGGTTAGGAAAAGATTCGCTTCTGCTACGAAGAGCCCGTTTTAACATTTGGCTATGAATCGTGGACAAGCCAAACTGTTTCTTGAGGTCTCTGAGATGTGGCTTTACTAAATAATTCTCAGAATCTCTTGGACAGCCAAAAAGAGCAGCCCAAAGGTTTTGAAAGCTGTGAGGGCTGGGAAACACCTTATAAACATCAGTAAGAGACAGTCATAATTGTTGGGTCACATTGTGAGGAAAATGAAACTGGAACATGTTGTGACTACTTGAAGGTATGTGAACGGAGAGTCACAGGAAGCTGGAAAGAGATGTTTAGAGCTTTTTTCATGGTAAAGAGGGGTGTCAGAACTCTAACTAATACCTGCTGTTGAAGATCGAAATATCGAAGAGTTGTGAATTCAGTCAGCAAGGCACTTGATGGTGATGATTCTGCGGACGATTTCTACTTCAGTATCTCATATAATACAAGAATTCCCTAATGTACACATCATTAATTATAAGATGAGATAACCGGGCATTTACCAAGCTTAAAATTAACTCTCATCCGCCCTACACCCCCCACCAGCAACAATACAGTTTGGTCTGCAGAGAGTCGGAGTTCGAAGCCTTCCAGGTGTGCAAGTCTGCAGGTATCGGGGTCCTGCCCTATAGTCCCCTCAAATGGTGAGTACAATGCGGTGTTAGCGCATGCGCACGCTGGGCGACTCTCAGGAGCAAACGCACCCCATGCTGATTCTATTTTGTGGTTAATTTATATTTTGTTATTGTTGTCAGTTACATTATGTTATGTTATCCAAATGGACGTCACTACACATTGGGCATTCCCGTGCGTGCTCAGTAACATTATGTTATGTTATCCAAATGGACCTCACTATACATTGGGAATTCCCGTGCGAGCTCAGTTACATTATGTTATGTTATACAAATGGACGTCACTACACAGTGGGCATTCCCGTGCGTGCTCAGATCTGCGATGCAGCAACTACCCCACGTCACCTCTACTAAAAGTTACCACAAGGAGTTGGTTATATTGTCTCCTATCTCGGCCTCGAAGGTGGCAAAGACGTGCTTCCCGGTCAGCAAAATATTAATGCGTGAGATATGTCATTATCCACTAGCCCAGTCCGTACGGGGTTGATTAAATCTATGCTTCTTCCAGCATATTTCGGTGCATTATTTGCCAAATTGGTCCACTAGCTCACTGCCTCTCCCTAACGCTGGCATTGGCAGGTGAATGGATCCAGTGGAGGGAGGCTAAGTGCGAGTGGTTGTGCAGACAGAATACATTGATCTTAGGCTTAAAGTACTTGTGTACCCTCACAGGACTGCAAGTCGAATTTGCCGCGTGTAGACCCATTTACAAATTCTTTGCAGGTTGAAAGGGGTATTTTGGGTTTGCCCTGGTAGTTTGATATATGGACTGAAATTCTTTAATCTCAGGGTGTCAGACGTTTATGAAGCCGCCCACAGAGAGAGAGAGAGAGAGAGAGAGAGAGAGAGAGAGAGAGAGAGAGAGAAAGAGAGAGAGATAAAAGCAGCAAGCATGCATAGTTTACTTTGATAGTAAAGGCATTCAGAGTTACTTTGACCGCATCATCCATTGAGAGCTGATAGGTTTTTAAAATAAGGTCTAGCCCTATGTACCCAATACGTCTAAGGTCTTGAAGAGGCTGATTTTTTTTTTACTTGCTTCTTCGATGCAGAATATTTTTTTTTCAAGATCTTTGTATCGGCATGCTAAAGTCTAGCCAACGCTTGTCCATGGCTTTCACATCCACAATTGTAAAGATATTTATAAGAGCAACGAAGAGAATTGGCTCATAAACAGCATCATGTCCCGAAAACTGAGGTATTTTAGCCATGTTAAACGTCATGAAGGCCTGGCCAGAACGGTTATGGAGGGTACAGTTTCCAGAGAACGAAACAGAAGCAGATCTGCGAGAATCGGGACACATGATAGTGGAGACGCATTGGTTATGAAAGCAAGTACGCTTGGAGAACTGGCTGGAGAAAGAGAGAGAACGTTTTAGTCGTGACAAGTGCGACAACAACCTGCTGATTGGTGAGTGCGTGTATGTATGTATATATATATATATATATATATATATATATATATATGTGTGTGTATGTGTGTGTGTGTGTGTGTACGTCTGAGGTACTGGAAAGAGCAGGTACTACAACAGACTTTTCCATGTTCAGTTTACGAAGGCTCAGGTGGCTGGGTCACACCCGGAGAATGGAGGATGGCAGAGTCCCTAAGGACATCCTTTAAGGTGAATTAAAGACAGGAATAAGATGTTGAGGCCGACCACTACTACGTTATAAGGATGTTTGCAAGCGGGACATGAATGATACAGGTATTGAGGCGGACTCATGGGAACAAAATGCGATGGACTGTGTTGTGTGGAAAGAGCATATAAGAAATAAAATGAAACTGAAGGAAGAAATGATTGCAGAAAGGATGAGAGCTGAGTGTCTGAACAGAAACGGATTAAACACAAATGTTGTTAACAATGGTCCTGAAATCCCATGCTAACATTGTATAAGACTTTTCTTGACACGGGTGGGTCTTGCTAGTCATACTCGCCATCGCCATGGGCTGTGAGTCTCATGCCTCCTTATAGCGCAATATAAAACTATCGTCTGGAAAGACGGAAAGGTGCCAAAGTAACAATGTAACAATGTACGTATATGTTTGTGCGTGTGTTCGTGTGTGGTTGAAACACCCACCTACCTATTTAACATCATGTCTATAATACTATGTCAATATTTCTGAATCAGGGGCTTGCTGGCGGGGAAGGTAAAACGGGGCGTGCAGCCCAGCGACGGAAGGCTGGGATGGGCTGCTCAACAAGGCGGAAGAGGAAATCAGTTTACCGATAAAACGTTCGATATCGTGGAAGCTGCAGAAACTATTGCAAAAACACGAGGTAAGTGTTTTTAATAGCTTTTATGGAGTTCACTTTTGTTTGTATCTATGTATGTCTAGGTAAATCTTTGTCTATGATTTTCACACTATTTGTTGACAATATAAAGAATAATATGAGTCTTGACACCCTTTTATACCTTCACCTTTATCGATGACCAAATAAAGACTAACTGAGAGAGAGAGAGAGAGAGAGAGAGAGAGATGACCTAATAAAGACTAACTGAGAGAGAGAGAGAGAGAGAGAGAGAGAGAGAGAGAGAGAGAGAGAGGAAGAAGCGCAATTCTTGAAGATGTCTGACACAAAAGTAGCCTCTGTCTTATCCCTGGAGTACGAAGGCAGATCCTAAGCAGAAAATGAAATAAAAACAGGAACGTTTATATCTGTCTCTATGTTAACAGCAGAAAAATCTGAACATCCTACGTAATTTTTACTTACTTTGTCTATTCCATTTCTCATTGTAAATGTTTATAATTACTCGCTTGGCTTGCCATACATCAGAATGAATTCAAATTGATGACAAGTAAATTTTTTTTTTAACAGACTCATCTTCAAAAGGGCAGGTGGTTAAATTGTGTCGTGGTTTACAACTAGACTGCGATATCTGCGGTTTGAGACGAAACGCATCTTTTTTTTTAGCAAACTAACAGTTGCTCACCTTTTACGACATGCTTGATAGTGGGGAAGGTTCTCTTCTTTATTGGCTAACCTCTCACTAACTCCTTTCACAGCAAAAGACAGTCCAAATAAGCACACAAAACATATTATACAAAGCATTTTCATTCCAACCCTGTGTTATCAGTGCCAAACATGGTTACTCACATCAAACATAAAAACGAAATCAGTAATCGCAGAAAATTTATGAGAAACGCTGCAGGATCGACCTAAACAGATAAAGTTACAAACGAGGTCATACTAGAGAACGCTGAAAAAAAAAAGTTTTAAATAACATACAAACACAGCAAATCAAATGGTTTGCCCACTTAAAGGGGATGCCTTGTGATGCCATACCACAAAAGGCATTCAGTAAAAGAGGAGAAGGGCGTAGAACACAAGTTAAACCGAAAACAAGATTGACAGATATCATCAGACAAACTGTCCAACAGCGCTATGTGTCTGAGGCCGAAGCGACCAGAAGAACAAGAAGCCAAACCTTATCCCAGACTCACGAAGCAGTAAAAAAGGACGTGAGGAAGAAGTGGTAGAATATCTTTTTCGTGTCACATCTGGGAAATTGTGTCAGCTTGTCTTTGAGCCATTTTGCTATTTATGTTAACGAATCATCTAATCAATGCAGACCACTAAAATCTCTCTCTCTCTCTCTTTCTCTCTCTCTCTCTCTCTCCCTCCCTCTCTCTCTCTCGTTCTCTTCATATATATATATATATATATATATATATATATATATATATATATATATATATATATATGTGTGTGTTTGTGTGTGTGTATATAATATATATATTAAAGTTACCTATGTAAATGACCCTTGCAGGTCGAACCACGGCCCAGGTGTCGCTGAGATGGCTTCTCCAGAGGGACGTGGTGTCTTCAGTCATCATCGGAGCTACCAAACTGGCACAGCTCGACGACAACATGGCCGCCAACGGCTGGTCACTCACACCAGAAGAGGTTAGAGTTTGCCCTTTATGTTCTATTATTTCACTTATCGGATGGGGGAGGGAACGAGAGTAAATAGGATGAGGAATGGAGAATGAAGAAGAGGAAGAGGGAGGAAGAGAAAAGAAGCATGCGGAAGAACAGATGGAGCAGCAGGCGCCGCGGTAAATGGAGAAGACGACGAAGAAGGAGGATTAAATAGAGAATAAGTAAATACTAGCAGTAATGACAGCAGCAGCAGCAGTAGTAGTATTAGTAGTAGTAGTAGCAGCAGCAGCAGTAGCAGCAGTGGTGGTGGTAGTAGTAGTAGTAGTAGTAGTAGTAGTAGTAGTAGTAGTAGTAGTAGTAGTAGTAGTAGTAGTAGTAGTAGAAAAATAATAATAATAAGAAGAAGATGAAGGAGAAGCAGAAGATGAAGGAGGAGGTGAAGACGAAGAATAAGAAAAAGAAGAGACAGAAGAAGAAGAAGAAGAAGAAGAAGAAGAAGAAGAAGAAGAAGAAGAAGAAGAAGAAGAAGAAGAAGAAGAAGAAGAAGAAGAAGAAGAAGAAGAAGAAGAAGAAGAAGAAGAAAGATAAAGAAGAAAAAGCTGAAGAAGAAGAAACAGATGAGGAGGAAAAGGAAATAGAATTACCGTATGAGGACTTTTAATTGTATGTGTGTGACTGTAAATGTATCTGTGTGTTTTAAATTCTCCCTAGTAAGGATGGTTGGAATGTTGCACTGTGGGTGTATCTGGCCAGCGATATCTGCATCTCGTGGCCCAACATCCTATATGAACAAATCCCTAATAAGTGGCTTGTTTACGACAGGTTTTTAATGGAGCAGTAGGTTCTCCAGCCCTCATCCCCTTCCCCCCCCCCCCCCCAAATTGTGAGGCGGGACATACACATTATGGAATAAGCCGATTTGTAATAATTACGAATGTTTATCAACACCAGACCTGCAAGTGATTTGCACTGAATATTATACCAGCGGCCTTTACTCCATAGGACTGTACCCGATACCTACTCAAGGCTGGGTTGACCTAGGAACCCAGATCAGTTCTAAAAAACAAAAATCTTGTCCAGCTCAGTACAGACTGGAACGTAGGAATTTCAGATCTGAAGGCGAGTGTCTAGCCTCCATGCCACAGCGGCTTCCTTTTGGCCAAGCAGCGATGTATTATTGTTACTGTGGCTCGGTATTATGGATATCGCAACCTTCGGCCTTGATTCCATGACAGATAACGTCAATCTTGGAAAATGTGGCTTGTCTGCTTACCCCCGGGAGTGAACCCGGACCACAAAGAGTTCGTAACAGGTCCCCGCACCCGCACAGTCAGGTTTAACTAACTGAGCCGGCGAGCAGGACAAACTGATTGGTCTATAAAATATAGAACTATACGCCTAACACACCAGAAGGTTTGGAAAAGGGTCCTTTACTTACATTACTTACTTACCTAAGGCTAGTGCCCATTTAGGCGCCCCATGAGAATGTGTAGATGTAAGACCTCCCTTCTCCCTGCCATTGTTTTCTCCTGTCGATACCCTGGAATATATAATGCACCCATTCACTAATATATTTCTCAAAATGCAAATTTCAGATGAAACAACTTGATGACGTGTCTGCCCCGGTGACAACCTACCCATACGACAGACAAAGACTTAACGGCGATCGCTTTAATCCTGCAATCAAAGACTCCCATGTGAAGTCTACAAGCACATAATCTGTTATTTTTGTTTTGTTTAAATGTATGATCCATTGGTGAAATGTTGACGACATCCATTTACCCCTGGCACTCTGCTAAACTTACACACAAGTGCTCATTCCTTGTTGCGAGAAAAAAGTGTTCGGCATTGACGTTATTGGAAGGATAGAATTAAAAAAAAAAAATAGTGTAGCAGCATGCAAATAGTAATTCCTTTTAAAACATCTAGAGCCAGAATTGCTAGGCATGAGTAAAAAAAGAAAGAAGAAAAAAAAGGATCAATTTTACGTTAATGGCACAATGAGCATGCGATGCTGTAGTCCGTTTCAAAAGTTCTGTCCAATTTGAAAAATCGGTATCTTACTAACGGTTGGGTATAAGTTGTGGAAACGGCATGAATCCTGTTAATATTCTTGTCCGATAAGAAATTTTTTTTCAAGTAAACATACATTTAGTTATCATTTTGCCCTAATTGCGGTATGTGAAAAAAAAGACACCAGTTCAGAGCAAATAATTACCCTGCTTGCAATTACTTGACTAACCCGAGCAGGGAAAAACATCAGATTGCATGTGTACATGTGGTATGTAACTGTAAATTATAAACTCACGAGGACATAAGGAAGCTAAAAACACATGAAAACATTCGTAATAATCCGTACACGATTTTTGAGATATTTGTTAATGTGTGATGCACGACTTTCGAAACGCTCTATAGACAAATGTTTATATAGACCATTCAGCCTTCTATAAATGGTGTAGTCAAAATTGGGGTAGCCGCCTTTACTCCCCACTACATTACCTGGTACCCATTTCAGGCTGTGTCGAACTGAGAGGTATTTACGTTTTGAACGATAAGACCAAATTTAAAAATTATTTCGATGATAGTTTCAACGTCAGACTATTTGACCGTTTTGAGGGGTCTAGTCGCTTAGGTGACTTTGGTACAGTGCCATCGATATCAGAGATTAGAGTTGTCCAAACATCCGAGAATCGGAAAGTCCATTCACTTGAGAATAAAGAAACCCAGACACGATAGATCTGAGAAATCAGAAGTCACAGATTAGAGACATCTAAAAATCAGTGATCGGAAAACAATCTTTCTTAATAACTCCAATATCCAGAATGTTTAGATGTTTTCTTGAACATTAAAGAAACTGATAATATTTGCCCTTGTTAAATTCATTCATTTAAACAACGGTTCCTCTTTTGTGTTAATTTAATGTTGAAATAAAATATTTCGGGTATTTTGCTGATCTTCTGCTTATTTGCTCATTCTGAAAATGACACTAGCACTTTGTGATATGGTCATTCTCAACAGTTGCCTCCCGTGAACGGATTTCCAAAAAATCAGCCAGACTGCGACCTGTGTCGATTTCTGCCCTACACATACAGCTTCAAACACGGACCATGTCTTCAGAAAACAGAAAAAAATAGTCACAACAGAAATAAAATGTTTACTTACTATACAAGTTGTAACGACTAAAGATCGACATAGGAACGATGGTATCAGAAGAAGAGTCAACACAGAACCAATACTGAACTTTATAGCTAGACAGCAGGTCAAATGGTTTGGCCATGTAAAAAGACTGGCATCAGACAGGGCACCACAGAAAGAAATGTTATAGATATACAGCGGCAGCGGAGCCAGAGGTCAACCTGCAACAGATGGACAGCACAAATATCAGAAACGCTAAAAAGTATTATATCGAAGCGAACAGAAGGGGCCGTTGCAGAGATCTCTTCTTACCCGTGAGGTAATCCAGGAGTAAAGGAAAAAAGAAGAAGAAGAAGAATAAAAAAAAGAAGCAGAAGAAGTAGAAGAAGAAGAAGAAGAAGAAGAAGAAGAAGAAGAAGAAGAAGAAGAAGAAGAAGAAGAAGAAGAAGAAGAAGAAGAAGAAGAAGACAGAAAAAGGAAAAGAAGAAGAAGAAGAAGAAGAAGAAGAAGAAGAAGAAGAAGAAGAAGAAGAAGAAGAAGAATAAGAAGAAGAAGAAGAAGAAGAAGACAGAAAAAGGAAAAGAAGAAGAAGAAGAAGAAGAAGAAGAAGAAGAAGAAGAAGAAGAAGAAGAAGAAGAAGAAGAAGAAGAAGAAGAAGAAGAAGAAGAAGAAAAGAAGAAGAAGAAGAAGAAGAAGAAGAAGAAGAAGAAGAAGAAGAAGAAGAAGAAGAAGAAGAAGAAGAAGAAGAAGAAGAAGAAGAAGAAGAAGAAAGAAGAAGAAAACGAAGAAGAATAATAAGAAAAAGAAGAATAAGAAGACTCTCTAAATCTCTAGCCAAATGTCCTCCCAGGTCGACCCAGCCTTAAGTAGTTACCGGCTGCAGTCCTGGAAGTAAAGGCGACTTGTGTAATGCTCACCACATCACGAATCTTGTGCCGTTGGTCTGTAAAATATAGGGCTAGCCCTATATACCAATTACATGGTATAAAGCATGGAAAGGGGTCTTTTTTATGTGTTTTTATAGCCAGATCATTTTTAATGTCATGTGTCCACCTTCTCTGATGACCATCGACTTTCGAAAAATGTACCTTTAATCACCGTTTTGTCCAGGCCACATTGAAGCTTAACTTGGCCACCATTTCAGCTTTCGGGACAGGGAGAAAACGCCGTGATGTAGCGTCTAGACTCTCGCCTGCGGTTCCCCATGTCGAGGTTTCGGGTCCTGACGGAGCCAGACATATTTTTCACAAATGATATTAGCTCCCAGGTCGACCCATCCTTAAATAGGTACAAGGGACAGTCTTGGAAGCAAAGACGGTCGATGTGATGTTGACCATATCACCTACCGAGTGCCACTTGGTCTATAAAATTTAGGTCTAGCGCGGTATGCCCAAAACGTCTGGAAGCGTGGAAAAGGAATCTTTACTTTCGGTACAGGATGTTGCTTACCAGCCAGTTCTCCTCGATGCTTAGATCATGCAGGATCTCTGTGGAGCGGAAATTTGTGTATGAAAATATGAGTCTCGCATTATCAAATGACCCTTACCGTGTGAATTGAGGGACCCTATTATGGGGGGGGGGGAAGGGATGGGGGATAGAAGACCCACTATACCGTAGGAAGCTTGTCATGAAATGCGACTAAATAGGGTTGTTGTTTTTGAAGTCTGAGTGCATCTGCCTCAGGTGTGAGGTACCTGCAGCTACAAGCAAATAATACCGATCTGTTCTGAAACAAGACCAAGATCCACAAGTGGGTGAATGACTAGAACATTCCGTTGGAGTTTACAGCCGTGGAACACAGAGGACAAAAATGGAAACAAAGCCTCACCAAAGCCTTAGAAATATTGTAACAGAGCCTCAAGTCCAGAGCCCATAAAGACCAGGGATATAGGGCTATGAAAGCTTTTTTTGGTTCGCAAGACAAATTGTGTTAAATATCGTCAGAAGCTAGTCTGGTAGGGGTATGGGACGGACAGTAGTTTTGTTTGTAATTAGTTTGTTGTAGTCACCGTTCGTGCTATCCTGTCTATAAGTGTTTACTTTACGGTACGTTATCGTTATAATTTATTTTTTACTATACAGAATAGATAATGAGATATATATAATTGATATGCCCAGAATTTACTTTATGCTCATGACACAGTCTTTAAAGCAATAAGTCACAAAGAACTAGAGGAAATGATAAAAAAATGTGGTGGTAGAAAGTGGAAGGATGGGTCTCGGTTCGAATAATGGAAAGACAGAAGTAATAGCGGTATCAAAGAAAAGAAATATTCCTAAATTGGTAATAAAAGTCAATGGTGTTTTTTTTAAAAGTCAAGTACAGACATTTAAGTTTCTGGGCACATGGATAACATCAGATGAAAGATGCATTACTGAGATAAGAAACAGAATAGGACAGGCAAAAGCTGCATTTTATAAAATGAAGAACATCTTACGCAATATATATTTGTCATTGAGGTTTAGAAAAAAGAATTCTTGCTTGCTACATACATCCAGCTTCAACATATGGTTGGGAAACCTGGACAATCAGTAGGCAGGCAAAAAAATTTATTCAGGCCTCAGAGAAGTAGTTTTACATTAGAATGCTTAAAATACCTTGGACAGCCAAAAAGAGCAACCAAGAGGTTTTAAAAGAGGCGGGAGCCCGAAGACAAATTATCACAAACATCAGAAGGAGACAGTCATCGTTTTTTGGCGATGTTATGAGAATGGGGAAAATGGAACATGTTGTGACCTCTGGAAAGATCTGTGGAAGGAGGGATAGAGGAAGACAACGAGAGAAGATTTTTGACAGTCTTGTTGCATGGCTTGGAGGTGTGTCGGCACACGAACTGATACATGCTGCAGGAGATCGTAAATTATGGAGAGGCATGATCGCCCACGCCAGTCAGCAAGGCACTTGATGATGATGATTACAGTTTAGCTGTGTCACTGATCTTCTATGTTGTGTGTGTTCATAACTTTCTATTGTAACATCTTTTACCGAGTACATCTGGTGACTAGTTTACAATGTGTTCATAACTTTCTATTGTAACATCTTTTACCGAGTACATCTGGTGACTAGTTTACAATGTGTTCATAACTTTCTATTGTAACATCTTTTACCGAGTACATCTAGTGACTAGTTTACAATGTGTTTGTAACTGCACCACAGCTCATTTAGTATGGGGCGCTACTACAACGAACCTACTACAGGAGGAAAGGGTTCCATACCAATTTTCTAAAATACATGGACTCAACCGCCTTTAGCCTTGTTTAAGTGCGAAATAATAATAATACAAATATTAATATTGATAATATAACTATGTGCTGAATTGCAAGAAAAAACTTATAATAAATTAGAAATATTAAATACATTTGAATACTTATAACTACAAAATTATGCTTGGCTAGAGGGGGGAAGATGCAGTGATAACTGGTCAAAACAAAACATGATAAATGGAGAGCGTACTGTAACCTTTTTATAGTATATAGAAGAAGTCACGTAAAATTAGTTTGGTAGAAAAACAAACTACAAGTTACATACATTAGCGCGGGAAAATGGGCCTTCTGGCACATAGAGAGCCTTTGACAACCCCTCCCCTCCCCCCCCCCCCCACCCACACATTTTCTGTGTTCCGCGAAATGTTTATTTATCATGTCTTGTTTTGAGCAGATATCAATTTCTGCTATGTCATTTGCTAAGTTGGTTTGTTAGCGGGGTTTGCGATACACAACATCCAAGTAGAACTCCAGATGCAGTAGGATGCTCAAACTCCCATCCGTCATTATGTTAAGAGGTGTATTCCCAAACACGTTCTCGATGACTTCTTTAAGCATGTTATCTTTGACACACTGTTGTATAGTATTCTAAAGTGCTTCAGACCACTTTGTGCAGTCGGTAGTTGAAAATTTTATGGTACTTATTTTGTTGATGCTTGTTGTGTTGTTACCAAGGCCTTTAAATACTTCACGCAAGAAGAAGACAGGAAGTGCAGGTCAGCGTTACAACACTACAATAACAACAGCCACAATAAAAATAATAATAATAATAATAATAATAATAATAATAATAATAATAATAATAATAAACTGAGGATGTTGAAGGTACACGTTTTATAATCACAATAAAAAACAAACAAATTCTTCTACATCTCCTTATACTACTACTACTATTACTACTACTACTGCTACTGCTACTACTACTACTGCTGCTGCTGCTGCTACTACTACTTCATCATCTCCTTCTTCTTCTTCTCCGCCTTCTCCTACTCCTTCCCTTTTACAATGTCGTTTGTTTGGGGATGGTCGTCCTCAGAATGACTACCTCCCAACAGTTCTACAGCCCCAGTTTGTAAGACTGGGTAGCTCTTGAAGATGCTCTGTTCGTCTCTCCCACGTCACGCGATACTGATGATCTAGCAGTCACCACTCGGAACAATGTGGCCTGATGTTCGCTTGTGCACTGCTATATAAACACAGAGACGGGCCTTCTACAGACTTTGCTTACACATTACGCTCCTCTGGGTTTCATCTTTTACCAGGGCTGTCTTTAGAACGTTAACTGTAAGTAGACCATGGTGTGCATCTAAGGTTGTTGCGTATCCTTTACAGGACGTTGCAGAACCAACCCTAACAGCCCCTGGCTGTTGTGTGGTTTCTCTAGGCAAATTTACGTCCAGTAGTTTGCCATTGCTTCCTGGACGGTCGGCTTTCTTGATACCAATGTCGAAACCAACGCAAGGCGCATTGCCCGCAGCTGGGATCGATCCCGGCATCCCGGCATTACGAAGCGAATCGTTCGCATCGACTTAGCCACAGAGCCGACGGTGTGCATCTAATGTGGAAAAATAACTGTTCTAGTAGGTAACTGTCATCCAGTGGCATTTTGTAGCAGGTAGGAAGTGATCGCGATTTGTGATCCGACTGTTGTGTTTCGTTGACAAAAAATATTTTTTACTAAATGTGCACACTTATTGGTGAATATAGATGTTTGTTATCGTGAGGAGAAGGGAGCAAAGAAATACAAACCAGGCATGCAGATGGGAAACAAATGCTACTGAAACAGTTGCATATGATAGAACGCAAAGTCACAAGTCACAAAAACACAAGTAACAAACTAAGAAACTCTAGACAGTGTGATAACCAAGAGAAGATGGAAATGGCTTGGCCACGTTATGAGAATGAATCCCGATATACCTGCCAAAACAGCTTTTACGTGGATACCAGAGGGAAAGAGAAAAAAAGGGCGTCCAAAAACAAAAATGGAGACGAACGATGAAAAGTGACCTGAGTGTGGCATCTTTGACATGGAAAACTGCACTGAAGATTGCACAGGACAGGAAAGCATGGAAAGTCCTCTCTGAAGCCTCATGTGCCACTAGGCATTACGAGAAGTGATGACTGATGAAAGCTTGGGGGGGGGGGGGGAAGGGGGTGGAGGATGTGGACTATAAGACTAAACTTAGAAATAATGTTTCTAAATAAATTAATTAGACATATTGTTTCCACCTGAATTAGTTAGACATATTGTTTAAAACTAAATTAATTAGACACATTGGTTCTTACTAAACTAATTAGACACATTGGTTCTTACTAAACTAATTAGACACATTGGTTCTTACTAAACTAATTAGACACATTGGTTCTTACTAAACTAATTAGACACATTGGTTCTTACTAAACTAATTAGACACATTGGTTCTTACTAAACTAATTAGACACATTGGTTCTTACTAAACTAATTAGACACATTGGTTCTTACTAAACTAATTAGACACATTGGTTCTTACTAAACTAATTAGACACATTGGTTCTTACTAAACTAATTAGACACATTGGTTCTTACTAAACTAATTAGACACATTGGTTCTTACTAAACTAATTAGACACATTGGTTCTTACTAAAAACTAATTAGACACATTGGTTCTTACTAAACTAATTAGACACATTGGTTCTTACTAAACTAATTAGACACATTGGTTCTTACTAAAATAAATAGACACATTGGTTCTTACTAAACTAATTAGACACATTGGTTCTTACTAAACTAATTAGACACATTGGTTCTTACTAAACTAATTAGACACATTGGTTCTTACTAAACTAATTAGACACATTGGTTCTTACTAAACTAATTAGACACATTGGTTCTTACTAAACTAATTAGACACATTGGTTCTTACTAAACTAATTAGACACATTGGTTCTTACTAAACTAATTAGACACATTGGTTCTTACTAAACTAATTAGACACATTGGTTCTTACTAAACTAATTAGACACATTGGTTCTTACTAAACTAATTAGACACATTGGTTCTTACTAAACTAATTAGACACATTGGTTCTTACTAAACTAATTAGACACAGTGGTTCTTACTAAACTAATTAGACACATTGGTTCTTACTAAACTAATTAGACACATTGGTTCTTACTAAACTAATTAGACACAGTGGTTCTTACTAAACGAATTAGACACAGTGGTTCTTACTAAACTAATTAGACACATTGGTTCTTACTAAACTAATTAGACACATTGGTTCTTACTAAACTAATTAGACACATTGGTTCTTACTAAACTAATTAGACACATTGTTTCTTACTAAACTAATTAGACACATTGGTTCTTACTAAACTAATTAGACACATTGGTTCTTACTAAACTAATTAGACACATTGGTTCTTACTAAACTAATTAGACACATTGGTTCTTACTAAACTAATTAGACACATTGGTTCTTACTAAACTAATTAGACACATTGGTTCTTACTAAACTAATTAGACACATTGGTTCTTACTAAACTAATTAGACACATTGGTTCTTACTAAACTAATTAGACACATTGGTTCTTACTAAACTAATTAGACACATTGGATCTTACTAAACTAATTAGACACATTGGTTCTTACTAAACTAATTAGACATACTGTCTAACCATGAAGTCGCAGGAGCTCAGCGGGTAAATGCTTACCTGCTGGCCTCAAGTTCAAGGGTTTAAATCTCAGTGAGGTTGAATTTTTGTCTCTACACTGAGATGACCTCCTAGGTTACGCCCAGCTCAAATTGGCACCCGGAAATGTCCTGGAAAATAAAAGCGGCTGGCTGGATGTTGACCACACAACCATTCGAGTGTCAATAGGCTCTTACAATTATGCATGTGGCAATGAATGCCTGATGCACTAGGTGCATGAAAGGGGTCAATTACTCTTGGGATACAGCATCATACTTCAACTGCCCTTACTACAATTACGCCTACTATTATTGTTTTCTGGTTATTCGTCCACCTCTGGGCTTTAGTCGTGTTGCAGAACCCGATTCTTAGCATCACATCCGTTTTACACGTCTGGCTTATTTTTATGCACATTGCTGGTTCCTTGCCTCTCAGGCAGACGCACTCCGACGTCGAACGAAGCCCCGAATACTCGACTCCTACGACATGATTGTTGAGTAGTCAGTGGGTCTATTCTTATGCCCCCCCCCCCCCTTCCTTCCGTGGGACCCTAGAACATACCGAGAGTATAAACCAATAATGAAAAGTATTACTTATTTCAGAATTTTTGAACATTTAAAGCCATCGCAAGGATTGATAGCAAGATGGCAGCACCCATCCCCGATGAGAACAAGGTCAACTACCAGTTCCTGGGGCGGTCAGGACTGAAAGTGGCCAATATCTGTCTGGGCTGTATGACGTTCGGGGAATCTTCTGTAAGTTGTCGCTTATTTCATTGCATTGACTACCCGTGGGGTTTGTGGGGCTCCTGTGTGGGGGGAAAGAGAATAGACCCACTGCAAGCATGTCGTAAGCGTCGACTAATTTGGGGCTTCCTTCTAAGTCAGTGTGCATCTGCCTGAGAGGCAAGGAACCAACAGTCTGCATACAAGAAAGTGAGATCTGTAAAACAGATATGCATGCAAAAATCAGGTTCTGGAACGATAATAAATTACATATGTGGACGAACAACCTGAACTTTTGGCTAGAGTGTACAGCCATGGAACGTAAAGAAAAAGAAGAAGAATATATCGTCACACCAGTAACGCCTGAGAAAATTGGTAAACATCAAATCGTGTGAATTCAAGAGGGCTGAAGAAATACAAGAAATATATCGGCGGCCACTAGTATCAACAGGTATAGGACAGGGACGATGGCGCTACATTCGACACATCCCGACAAGAAAAGAGCGGAGGATCACCAGACCGGCACTAAAATGGGAAATAGAGTCGTAAAGGAGACGTTGATGCCCAGAGGAAACCCTAACACGAAGGTAGATTCAATGTTAAAGGTTAAAATCGAGAGGATGGACTTCACCAGGTTTTTACCCCATATGAAAGGGTCTCTCTCAGTAGAACGCACAGAGCGTCGCATACAGTTCGAACTCTCTAGCTCCGGCAACGAGCCTCAGGGGTCTATGTACCAATTGCGCTGGTGAACTTAAGGGTGCAGTCATGAAACAAACCTAGACCTTTAGAGCACGAGGCAAACAGCTGGATCACTTAACCACGCAGACCTTTGATAAGACTGGATTCTATCCAAGACATTGAATTAATTGCACAGGACAGAACGGAAAGAAGGAATAGACGGCGAGCCCTATGTGCCATAGAATGACACAACAGAACAATGATGGTGTCACAACATTGTGCTTCAGTATTTCACGACCTGAACAATTTTTACCGGAAAGATATGGTAAGTATAATTAGCGTTCTGAACAAGCGGATATTTTTCAATTGTCGTCTCACCAGACTTGCATTCTATAGGACTCAGGAATGAGATCCGACAGCTTCACATCCGGGAAATAGGGGTAAAGCGTATAGACATGTAGAACATTTATTTGAGGACACTACATAAAGGTTACGAAGTAAACTGTAGACCAGTATGGCTGTGTGATGGGAAGCTGAAGTAAGTGGCCGTCATTGTATGCCGTAAAAGTTAGGCTTATGTTGTCATGTTTCGTCATCTCATGCGATCACCAGAATGAGGGATCAGGTCAGTGATACTTCATAGCCTCCATTTATATGGCCAAGATATCCAGGCGTAGCTCTCTTTTTTTTTCATAGTGCCAGTTATTACCATACACCCAAATTCATTCCTCCACAAAACATGTCCGGAAAACACCGACTACTTATGCCTAAATGTCTAGTTAGTTCACCACTTTCACTTGCTACGGCGAGCACTGTATCGAGCCATTATTAGCACTCGTAGGTCGGGACAATAATCGGTAAATAGCAACAAGATGCCAATGAGCCAATGCACTATTATACCAGCTGACACAATTATAACAGGAAAGAAACTTAATATAAACAGCATATTCTAAAAATACTACACTGCTTGTGCCAGACTTGAGGATTATCAAAGGTTAACTTTCGTAAAATTACCACCTGTGGAATGAAATGTCTAAAAAAAAAAAAAAAAAGCCGCCAACAAAGTGAGAAATGAAAGTCTCAGACAGAGACTACTAACCAAATTTCCTGAGAAAAAAAATATCAAATGGTTCGGTCATCTCGTCAGAAAGCAGCCACAAAAAACACTAACGCAGGAGTTAGACGTGGAAAGGTCTGATATGAAAGCACCGGAAAAAGATAGATTTATGACATTACAAATTTTCCGCATCGACACAATGTCGATAGCCAGTTAGCAATTGATCCCACAACTGTTTCTCATTACGACAGTTAACGGCTAATACGAAAATATATGATGGTGATGGTCATTATGCGTTTCTTGTGTATGCTTCATTATTTCTGCTAGTAGAAGCGAAGTGATATATTGAAATTTGTTTCTGAAACTCTGACAGTGGGGACTGCCTGGCCAGAGCGACGAGGACTTATCTCACCAGATTCTCAATCGTTATGTGGAATGGGGAGGTAACTTCCTGGATACAGCAGATGTCTACGGACAAGGAAGGTCGGAAACTATTGTTGGAAAATGGCTCGAAACGTGAGTATATATTAAACAAATTATTATGTGAGACGATAAATCAATCAATAAATCAGGTGCCGCCTCAACAATGAAGGCTGGCTGCAATGAATCTCTAAAAACTCGTGTCTATTCCCCTGAGTGTATACTTCCGAAGTCTGCTATTAATCTACCAGTTTATGTTGTCATCGAACTTATATCACCATCTACTTCTTGTTTTCTTGTCTTCACGCTGGTTTTTGAGAGTGGTACACCTTTTAACAGGGCGACATATTTAATTTACCTTCTCTTTTAATTTTTTTTTAGCACCTGTTTTTAGTATCATTATCTTCAGAACCAAACAATGAATCTGGATGTTTCAGATCTGAGTTGGTTGCAGTCGTAAAGAAAGAAATAGCTCTTAAACGTTATCCACGGCGAACATTTATGTATACTACTGAATCACGGAAAGACAATGCACTGTCGAGATATTTATGAAATCCGATGATGATGAGAACTGTGCGGACTAAAGAACGACGCAGTCTTCAGTGACATTACCTCACAAAATCTGCGTAAATTTGATCTGGGGTACGAAGCAGTGTAATGATTTGATGCTCGCTTCTCGACCCGAAAGTCTAGGATTCAAAACCACATCAAGGAGGTGTTTTCTTTAACAAATGGATTTGCTCCTCGGTCGACCCAACTTAAAATGAGAATTACGTAATATCCTGGTAAGTAAGGAGACTGGCTTAATGTTAACCACATCACCGCATCTAATACCAACTGGTCTATACAAATTTAGGTTTAGCGTCTCATTCCCTGGTGTGTCGACAACGTGAAAAAGGTCTATATCACAAATAAACACATTTCAAAAATATTTTAACGAGCTGACAGACACTTAGTTTTCTCCTTTTTATTTACCACACTATTGCCCACCCAGTCTGTACCTCGGGTTCCTTTGTTACCCTATGAGGCACCATTATAGCCGTGCCCTCAACGGGCTTACCGTCTTTTGCACATGCGACATTCTCATCTTTGTGCTGTGAATCCTGAGGAATGTAATCTTGAAGGGTTGAAACGGCACATGCACATAAAGAGATCAAACTATGTCCCTTCAGGCAACCTCGGGACAAGTTTGTGATCGCTACCAAAGTTCGAGGAAACATGGGTACACAGGAGAACGTCAACAACGTGGGACTGAGTCGACGTCACATTACTGAAGGAATCGATAGAAGTCTTCAGAGACTGCACACAGACTTTGTGGATCTTTACCAGGTGGGTGATGTTACCTACTTTTAGCGGGTTGATGTTGTTGGTTTTGTTAGATTTCCCCATGTAGGTATCGGGGCCCTATTGTGTGGACAACAGACACATGACCTTTCCAACAAGCGTTGAGTGGAATTGTGGGAGCTTCCTTTCAAGTCAGAGTGTGTCTCCTTAAAAGCAAAGAACCAGTAGTCTGTATACAAATGTCAGATCTGTAAAACTAATGTGCATGCAACATTCATCTTTTGAAACAAGACTAAAGTCTACAGGTAGACGAAAATAAAGAACTTTCCGCCGGAGTTTACAGCCATTTGAACGCTAGGAAGTGGATGAGGTACTTTCAACCCTTATGCGAACAGCTTTGGTTGTAATTATGCTTGTTTCTTTCTCTTTAATTGTTAAAAGTTCATGACTTAACTAGTTTGTTGTGCCAAGAGTCGTTGCTTATTGTTCCAGTAGGTGTGATTGTATCATTCTAACCATGGCTGGATACCCTATGCATGTCCTGTGGTTGGGATGATGGATACATTGTTCTTATCCATTGCCTAGTTTTCTTGTTCTAACTGTGTTATACGTTATTGTGTCCATACTATTGTTATCCCATAAAGTGGCTCTCATACGGTATTGTGTCCTGTATTCCGTGCTAGAGATTAAAGGGTAGCTCTTGTCATATCGTGTGTGTGGCTTCACGCCAAAATGAGGACTTAGTTATCTTGTGGGTGATGCCGTACGATATAAGCAGATTAATTGTTTTTTTACCATTTAGTATGCCTTCTGGTGTATGATTTTCTGACAGAAGAATCGAAGAACACAAGTAGAAGCGTGTAGACAAACAAGAATAACTGTAAATAACTCACTTTTTTGTAGGGGGAGGGTGGGGGGGAGAGAGAGAGAAGAGCTATAGGGCCAACTTGGACGGTGAAGCATAGAAACCAGATGAACAACATGGAGACTGAGGTTAAGAAACCAAAGAGACGACTGGGAGACTGAAATATACAAACCATTGAGACAACTAGGAAGTTGAAGTATAGTGATCAATGAGACGACTTAGATAGTGAAGTATAGAAACTAATGAGACAACTAGACGGTGAAGTATAGAAACCAGTGAGACGACTTGGAGACTGAAGTATAGAAACCAGCGAGACGACTTGGAGACTGAAGTATAGAAAACCAATCAGACGACTTGGAGACTGAAGTATAGAAACCAGTGAGACGACTTGGAGACTGAAAAATAGAAACCAATGAGACAACTTGGACGGTGTAGTATAGACAAAAAGTGGACTATTTGGAGGCTGAAGTATAGAAACCAGGTGGATCACTTGGAGGCTGAAGTATAGAAACCAGGTGGATCACTTGGAGGCTGAAGTATAGAAACCAGGTGGATCACTTGGACGCTGAAGTATAGAAACCAGGTGGATCACTTGGACGCTGAAGTATAGAAACCAGGAGAGACACATCTGGCACAACAAAAGACCTATCAGTCAACAAAGAACGGTCACAATTAATGACAGGACGTAGGGGTTCATAGTGAAGGAAGGATCTGAGCACCTATGGACATGTACGGAGTGCAAGGATCATATCCCAACTAAATAACTAACTATTTTCTATAGACATTTGATCAAATACGTTTATAATAAAACACCCTGAATGGATATAGCTCTTTCATTGGACCTTTCCGTCTTTCCAGACGATAGTGTTATGTTCCGCTATGAGGAGGCATGGAAATCACAGCATATGGCGATGGCGAGGGTGACTAGCAAAACACGCCTGCGTTAAGAAAGGTCTTCTACAATTATAGCATGGGATTTCAGAACCATTCATAGCCCACAGCCTGGAAAGTATGTTTGAGACAATATACTGCCCATGCATCATGATCTCTCGCCCTTTCTCTCTCTCTCTCTCTCTTTCTTTCTCTCTCTCTCTCTCTCTCTCTCTCTCTCTCTCTCTCTCTCTCTCTCTCTCAGCCTGTCTTTTTTTTACGGAGGAAAGGTAACACCAGTACGTTTGAAACATAGCAGGCTGCTGACGCTGCCGGATCAGAACAGCAGTGCTCTATCTCTCCTCCTGTTAGAGCTTCCCTTCTTGACCAGCTGCCAGCCAAGCCTAAGGGTCTGGGCTGCACTGCCATTACATAAAGTTTTCAGGTTGCATTTCCTCTTCCGAGGATAAAGCAGATATTGCTAACACTGTTAATATTCTAGGCCCACCAATGGGACGCCGGCACGCCACTGGAGGAGACACTGAGGACCTTTGATGACTTGGTTCGTGGGGGTAAAGTCCGTTATATCGGGGTCAGTAACTTCAACGGCTGGCAAATGGAGAGAGTCGTCAACACGGCCAGGACTTTGGGGATCAACCCCATCATTAGCTTGCAGGTAAGGTCATTGTCTAGGTGTTTCCAGGATAATGCTATATAGCCACATGGTGGATATCCACATATATTTTTAGAAATGTAACCTATCCCACAACTGACCCTTCACAGACACACAAAGTTGGATTTTAAAATTGTATTACAAAAGAAGGCTTCAATATATATATATATATATATATATATATATATATATATATATATATATATATATATATATATATATATATATATATATATATATATCTTATTCTGCCTTTCTATAGTCAAAATGAGCATACGCCCTCAACCTACTCACCCTAAGTCGTTCTATTGCATGCAGCTCTCCCCATGTCCTCCCTATGTTTTTAACTTTACTCTCTAGCTTCCTTCTCCACGTGGGATGCCGGGGCGGGGGTGGGGGGGGGGGCGTCAGCCTTTATTTAAATGCTCCTACGAGTTTTATTGCAAAGACGTTCTAGTTATACTGTTCTCAGGGTTTTTTCAACGTGTGTCTTTTTCAACGCCAGCGTCTTTTCTTCAACTTTAGGTCCACTGGAACCTCTTTAGTTCTCCAAAGCTCTACATTAGTGATTCTATCATACCATTTAATTTCCTCTATTTTGCGTAGGCACCAGTTAATGAATGTTTGTAGTTTATTGGAAATAGCCTTAGTTCGTCTCCATGTTTTCGCTCCATACAACAGTACTGATTTGACATTAAAATTGAAAAGGTTTAGTTTGGTAATAGCTTTAGTTTCTTTTGATATCCACACCTTTCATATAGCTCCTCTTGCCTTTTGTATTTGAATTTTAATATAGCTATCAGTTCCCCCATCTTTATCTACATAACTGCCCAAGTAGATGTACGACTCCACGTCTTGGAGTGGGATACCATTGAGAGAAACTACATTACTATTTGCCTGATTTATTTCTATTGTCTTTTCCTAATGGATTTTGAGACCTGTCTGTTTTGATCTTGCAATAAGAAAATTTAATTTGTCTTGTTTCTGATTCCGTGTGTGGATCAGAAGAGAAATATCAGTGAAATCCAGATCATCAAACTGTTTTGTAGGGGTCCAGTGAATTCCATTCCTGGTGTTAGCAGTTGCTGTCTTCTTGCCAGTAAAAATAGGAGAGGTGACAAAACACATCCCTGTCACACACCTGTTTTTATTTCAAATGTATTTGTTAGCTTCCCCTCGTGAATAACATGACATTGCATGACTTTGTATGTTGCCTTTAGTATGTTAACAATTTTCTGTGGGATTCCATCAAGATTGTCTCCAGCTGACAAGACCGTCTCTAATCTGATGTGCATTGCTGCTGACGTCACCAAACCGGGATTACGATACATTAAGTTTTCACTCCAACAGTCCCTATTTTTCGGTGTGTTCACTGTCATCACCCAAAAAAAAAAAAATTCTAGGAATAATCTTAAGAATTAAATATCTGTATATTTACACACAATATGTTTAATTCTGAAGATTATTCTTAGAAAGACAACTTATTACTGACATCAGAAGGAGACAGTCATTATTTTTCGGCCATGTTATGAGAAGAGGGAAAATAGAACATGTTGTGACCACTGGAAAGATCTTTAGAAGGATGGATAGAGGAAGACAACGAGAAAAGTTTCTTGACATTCTTGTTGCATGGCATGGAGGTGTGTCAGCACACAAACTGATACATGCTGCAGGAGTTCGCAGATTATGGAAAAGAATGATCGCCCACGCCTGTCGGCAAAGCACCTGATGATGATGATGATTCTTAGAACTGTTGTGGGGGACGGCGGGAAACCCACCGAGAAACGGGACTATCAGAGTGAAAACGTATCCTATCGTTGGCTCGGTTTGGTGACTACAGCAGCATGGCCCGTCAGTTGGAGACGGTCGTGATTCCATAGTGTCCTATCAATAGAGAGAAACCCTATCAATGCTGTCAAAAGCTTTTCATAGTCTATGAACCAATGTAAAGTTGGGAATGCTATTCAATGCATCGTTCTCTTTCTCTCCCGCACTGCCTCCCTCACCAGCAACAATACAGCCTGGCCAGCAGAGAGTCGGAGTTCGAAGCCTTCCAGGTGTGCAAGTCTGCAGGTATCGGAGTCCTGCCCTGGAGTCCCCTTAAAGGGTGAGTGCAAAATCGTCTGAATCTTTCGGAAGCCCATGTTACAACTGAATGTAACAGACATTACATTACACATTTAGGTGTTTTACACACACAGAGGCAGAAAAAAAAATCATAGAAGTTCAGGGACGCTGAAGTATCCACCAATCCATCCATTTATCAATCCATCCGTCCATCCGTCCATCTGTCTGTCTGCCTGTCTGTCTGTCTGTTAGTCGATCGATCCATTTATCCATCAATTTATCTATCCAACCAATCCATCAATATAACCATCTATCTTTCTAATATATTTAATCTATCTATCTATCTATCTATCTATCTATCTATATCTATCTATCTATCTATCTATCTATCTATCTATCTATCTATCTATCTATCTATCTATCTATCTATCTATCTATCTATCTATCTATCTATCTATCTATCTATATCTATCTATCTATCTATCTATCTATCTATCTATCTATCTATCTATCTATCTATCTATCTATCTATCTATCTATCTATCTATCTATCTATCTATCTATCTATCTATCTATCTATCTATCTATCTATCTATCTATCTATCTATCTATCTATCTATCTATCTATCTATCTATCTATCTATCTATCTATCTATCTATCTATCTATCTATCTATCTATCTATCTATCTATCTATCTATCTATCTATCTATCTATCTATCTATCTATCTATCTATCTATCTATCTATCTATCTATCTATTTTGCATTATCAATTTATTATTAAACAAGGTGAAGTATCCACCAATCCATCCATTTATCAATCCATCCGTCCATCCGTTTATCTGTCTGTCTGCCTGTCTGTCTGTCTGTTAGTCAATCGATCCATTTATCCATCAATTTATCTATCCAACCAATCCATCAATATAACCATCTATCTTTCTAATATATTTAATCTATCTATCTATCTATCTATCTATCTATCTATCTATCTATCTATCTATCTATCTATCTATCTATCTATCTATCTATCTATCTATCTATCTATCTATCTATCTATCTATCTATCTATCTATCTATCTATCTATCTATCTATCTATCTATCTATCTATCTATCTATCTATCTATCTATCTATCTATCTATCTATCTATCTATCTATCTATCTATCTATCTATCTATCTATCTATCTATCTATCTATCTATCTATCTATCT